AGCATGGTGGAAGAGGAAGTTTAGGAAAAGCTCAAGATCATAATTTGCCCCTTCTTGGTGGTCTTTAATTTTTATTTTTATTTATTTATTTGTTTACTTTTTGAGAAGTAGTCTTGCTCTGTCTCCCAGGCTGGAGTGCAGTGGCGGCGTGATCTCGGATCACTACAAGCTCCACCTCCCAGGTTCACGCCATTCTCCTGCCTCAGCCACCTGAGTAGCTGGGGCTACAGGCACCCGCCGCCAAGCCTGGCTAATATTTTGTATTTTTAGTAGGGACAGGGTTTCACCGTGTTAGCCAGGATGGTCTCGATCTCCTGACCTCGTGATCCGCCTGCCTCGGCCTCCCAACATGCTGGGATTACAGGCGTGAGCCACCACGCCCGGTGGTGGTCCTCAATTTTTAAAAGATTCACTAATTTTCCCTGCAGTACTGTTATATTCTGGCCTAAAACAAGACCTTTCTCTGTCCCAGCTCTCCAAAAGACCTCACAAGAGTCGTCCCAGGCCCTGCCAAAGACCTCGAACCATCATCTCCCTAATTCATCCCCCATCCCAAAAATACAGATCAATACCAACCATTGTGAAAGTTGCCTCTGCCACCCTCATTCCTACCAAACATCAATCCAGACCACCCAACCCACTCTGGACCACTCTGGCCTCTCCTGTTACAAGTTCTCATAGCCCATATATCTCTCCTTCCTAGCATGAATCACTTATATTTTCGCTTGTTGTCCCACTAGCTTATATATGGACAGGGATCCATATAATCATTTCTGCTTTGCCTTGTTACTGCTGTTGTTTTAAAATTTTAAGGGGTCTTTGTTTGACTGGCTCACTGTATCCCAATATAGCACCTTGGAGCCCTCAGGTTTCCTTCAAAATACACCTTGAATTTCATGTCACTCAGCTCAGACTTGGTCCCTTTCTCCTTGTTCCAAATCCAAGGCCCAAGCTGCTTTCTGAGCTCACGACATATTCTCTTCTCCTTCTCCCTCCACAAATTCCAACTCTTCCATCAACAAACACAGGCAGTCCAGGGGAGAAAATACCCAGCTGGCCCTGAGGCTGACCAATTTGGGAAGGAAACAAATCAGAAGTTATCTATTTCATGTTTGGGCAGTGTTTTTTTCTTCTTTGTTTTTTGTTTGTTTGTTTTTTGAGACAGACACTCACTCTGTCGCCCAGGCTGGAGTGCAGTGGCATAATTTCGGCTCACAGCAACCTCAGTCTTCCAGGTTCAAGCGATCCTCCTGCCTCAGCCTCCTGAGTAGCTGGGACTACAAGTACACACCACCATGCCCGGCTAATTTTTGTATTTTTAGTAGAGACGGGGTGTCACCATGTTGGCCAGGCTGGTCTCGAACTCTTGACCTCGTGATCTGCCTGCCTTGGCCTCCCAAAGTGCTGGGATTACAAGCATGAGCCACTGTGCCCCGCCATGGGCAGTGTTTTTTTAAATCACACTGCATTATTTTATTTAAGATGATGATGTTCTAATATGCAAAATGAATCCCTTTTCTGACCTTGAAAAAGACTTCTCTCTTTTCCATAACAAAACCCACTGGGGCCATAACCGGTGCCAACATCTCCAGGATGTGAACCCCGCTGAAGCTTCCCGGGTCTTCAGTGCTGAGGTGGCTCCCACTTCCCAACCACCTCCTGGCTGTGTTCCCATTGCCCAGCTGTCCTCCTCCTGCATCCATTGGCAAAGGAAGATGAATTCTCAAGAGCTTTTTAAAGCTCTTCCACCTACTCCGCTGATTTAGTAGGAGGGAGAATGAATGTTTCCAAGTTCTCTGAATGACACAAAGCTCACAAAGTATAACGAAATTAGTTGAAAAATAGCAAAATGAGTTTAGCTCCCCCTTCAAAAAAAAAAAAAAAGGAAAGCATGCCTACTTTCAATGATTCACAATGACTTCACAATTTTTCCTCCACTAGGATATGTATTCTTCCTCCCAAAGCTAATGGTTCTC